TTTTGTGGCTTCATCACAAATCTGCCAGGAAAAACAGAAACCATCTGTTCAAGCCTGGGCCTGAGCACGGATGAGTGTATAAATACAGGAGTTTAGCCTTCACGCCCGTACTGCACACATACACACATACACACACATGACTAGAGGGTCCAGCAAATGGCCCAATTCCCCCTAACCCTCCACCAGAGCGGTTTCTAAATCACAATGAAAAAGGCATGATCTATTGGAAATTGCACTTCACACATACGCACACAACTGTGCACTCGCACACACCCACATGGCTGCACATCAACACTTTCTTGAGGCGAAAACAGGATGGGGAAAAAAAAAAATCTCTTAGAGCAGTGATAGGAGGTAAGCCCCTTCCTTGTCAGATAATCCACCCCCCAAGAAATATCCTGCAGATGGAAGCATTCTGAAAAGTCCTATAATTCCAAGCTTATGTTGTCAGTATCTCTTGCTCACCAGCATACACAGTTTTTTATTGCTGAACACTGCATGAGGAAATGGAAAAAATGCTACAGATACAATTGCCTTTGCATATTTACCAGTTTTCATGTTTTATTGGGGTTTGTGTTTACTGTGATTTTGTGTAAAGGAATTTTAAGCACTTGCTTAATAATAATGTTTATTATTGCTACTGTTTGCGTACATATTTTGACCAACTAGTCCATCAGTCCACGTTTATTTGATATAGATTAATTCATACTGAGGTTGCATTCCTTATCCCATCACAGAAGAGCAGCAAGTGTTTTAATAATTGATGTATCTGGCTACTGCTTTTTTCCTTTCTTTAAATTGTTATATATTGATTTAAACACATTTTTGACTCCATTGAGTTTTACTATCTCAATCAACCTTTACTTGAAAAAAGTTACATGTGCCAAAATATAAAGAATATTAAATATAAAAAGATCAGTGCCACAGAATACCAAGATAAAACTTTTAGATGTCACCAGAATGTTTAAATTAGATTTAAACAGTAGATTTTGAGTAATTATAAAATTATAAAGCTGTAAAGTCTTAAATTTTGCAGTGGTCATTTTTGCCACTGTTTTTTGACAGTTACACAAACGAATGGAACAAATAACTACAAACTGTTTCAGGTGGTCATGCACCACTGTTAAACAGTCTTCCTAGAAGACTTCTGTGGAAAGTGAAAGGTCGTACCGTGTGTCGCTTTCAGGGATGTAGCCTATACCATCTTTCAAATGTAATCAAATAACCCACTCATTAAATTATGTTGTTAGCTATGCAGGCAACATAACTAAAGAAATGACTTCCTAAGATTGTCATTGTTGTCGCAGCCCTGCTTACAAGTAAAACAAAGATAATAAATCAGATAAATAAGCATCCGTTTGACAGAGCAATCATAACTAAATAGGTATGCTGCCCTAATGTAGGTTAACAAAAATGTGTAAACATTCCATTAAAAAAGATGGACGCTCAGTTGGTTAAATATAAAAATAGGGTCACATTTTGCACATCAGAGCCAAAAGAGAGCAAAAAAAAATCAAAGACAGCAGGCATGATATCCTCAAGCATACTTCAAAATGTCTCCATGTACCATGAGAAAGTATGACATTTTGATGCTCATGAAAGTTGGAGGTGGGTTAGAAAAATCTGTTTCGCTCTCAACAAACCTTTTCTGGCACGCAGACAGGTTGGCTTTGTAATTCTTTCTGTCAATCTGTCTCTTTGACACTAACTCACAATGTGAACCCAGCTTCAGAGGGCTCACTGCAAACAGGAACTCGTGGGAGACATTTCCTCCCTCAGGTGTCATCTTTTATTTCACTTCACGGTAGGACATCTCCCTTTATAAAAGACTAATAACTTTCTCTTTTGCTCCTCCTACGTTTCGGTGCTGTGCCAGGAGAAATGTTTTATTTTTCTATCTATGCCGAACAAATCGGGATGGGGGCTTGTGGAAATGAATGGGCAACGGCAAAGAGGAAGAAAGATGAGAGGAGTAGAACTGGGGACTGCGGCTTAGCACAGCCTCTCCACGCTTCCACTCAAATCATATTTCCTCTCCCATCTCCACTCCCAGGCTTGAAAGGGGATTTTCTATAGGTCTCCATCGTGCAGTTATCACCAAAGGAAATTTGTCATCACCACAGATGATCCCCTCAAAACATTTCATCAGCCTGTTCAGTCTCATCCCCACTCCTCCATATATTGCCCGAGCAAGATCGTATTAAACACAGCGTTTTTAGTGTGCTTTTGAATGTCTGCTCTCTCCAGACTCTGTCACTTGTTTTGATAGCCTGCAAACTAAATTACTTTCAAATGACCACAGCGATTCCTTTCATACCAGAACATTCCTCATGTTATTGAACTGAACTTTGGAGAATTTTTCCAACATCTTTCAGAGTCAATGATTTAGGATCATAAAATGCTCGGTTAGTAAATGGCTAACATGATTTAGAGCTAAAATGACCTTTCTCCATCTTCTTTCATATTAAGTCTGGGCTTCAAGGCTCAAAGACCACAGCAGAAAGAGGCGGGGGGTAAGGAGAGGGAGAGCAGGGGTATGGTGCTGTGAACAGTCATTATGCTGTGAAGAAAGCCTGCTCTCTGTCCCGCCGAACAGTTTTGATCTGCACATTTCAATTAGATTTCACATCAGGACGCCTGCCATCTCTTGGCCCGCACCTGCGCCCTGTTTGGCCCGCCAAAGCCGACACACGCTCACGCCCCTCACCGTCACACAGCCCATTATTCTTCCCCATATCATATCAGACTGAAATTACCCAGAAGAGTGCCACTAATTGCATATTGTAAAGGTTTATCATGGAGTGTTAACATTAACCCGTTTTCATAGGCAGTGGAAACCGCACTGTCGCAGTAGCCACTTTGCACTGCGTTGTTTTTAAAGTGTGGTGAGAAGCTGAGGTGGGTGGAAATCTCAAAGTCAAAGAAGAGGATTTGTCGCACTTATGTTTCTCATTTGGCTAACGTCTAAACCACCCACAAGTAATTGATGTAATTGTGATAATTGATATTTCGCCTACTCGTGTCCTCCAGAGCGCTCAGGGAGGGGGTTGTGCGGACCGTTCCAGTGGTGGTGTGTCAATACAGAAGCATGAGGAAACATTTGCAGAAAACAGATGTGCTCCAAGGATATTCTCTAGCGACCAGCGGCAAAAAGCCCTAGAAGAGATTTTCTCTTGCGCCTCCGTTCTTACAACATAAGAACTTCACTTACTGTATGAGAACAATGTTTATCGGAGTCTAAGAAAGTCTGACCATTTCTATATTATTGTTAAACACAGCTAGACCTTGTAAATTCTTACATGCTGGTTCTTCTGTCATATTAAAAGATTAAAGATGATTTTATTTTAATGCACAAATGCCTTCACATTGAGTGCTACATAAAACCCTCCCATTTAGTCAGATACATTTTTGTAGCTGATTAAAAGCAGCCAAAGTCCTTAAGAAGCTGTTATATCCATGTGACTGAGCTCTGGTGTTTATTCATGACAGATATGGCAGCCTGTGTACTGTTTAAACTTCATCTGATAACAGTCCCTCCCTGTGTCAACCTGCTGCCGTTGTTGCTCATTTCTGTCTGAAATTGTTGTTGCAGTTTTTTACACTTCTGGTTTATCAGTCCATTTGCATCTTGTAATTCTTGCATACATCGCAGTTTGATTGTTTTACATTGTGTTACACTGATTAATCAAGTAATGCAGTGAAGTCGTTGCTGTAGCAGTTTAAAATATATGCAACAGATTTGTCTGGTTAAAGCATGAAATTAAATGAGGCTCTAGGATGATCCAGAGAAACTTGCATGTTTTTCCACTGCCTGCCAAAAGTAGTCTAAGTGTTAGCCGCAAAACTGCTAAAGTGTTGGTGAGAGCAGAATTTTAATGACCAATTTATGTCAAGAAGAACAGTCGAAGCTAAGAGTGAAAGCGATCAATACACATTAAAGACAAGCAAACCCAATTCAGGCTGACTTTAACAGACCCAGTCATACCCAATGGCTGACCTCCCCCATTAATCCTCTAAACATTAAAACATGTTAAAAGCTCCACAATTGGCATGCAACAGACTGCATGTCCTGAAATGAATAACCAGAAAGAGGATGAATGGTTATGGTTCTGTAGAATGTGTCTGTGGGAGATGAAGGAATTGCGAAAGGTAGAGAGGACCAATGCGAGGAACCGCCACAGGGAAACAATATAATTGCTCCTACTGCCAGATGACAGTTTTGGAGTATGTGTATTATTTTGAGTGTGGCCGGAAAGCACCAGTTAATTTGTGCAAGCTGCCTCAGCAAAGCATCTTCTGATCCATGATTGCATGTGTTAATGTTTCAGTAGGGTATTGATTTCCTGGCTGGCTTTTGTGTGCTGGATTTATACACCCTGCTCCCTGGCAAGCGCACCCTGAATGTTTGATTAAAGTTCAATTGACTCTTCCAGCGAAGGGGCTCGGAGCCGTTTCACTCCCTATTTGTAGCGCCAAAGCTCTCCCCGACATGTTCTTTTGTTCCCATTCAAGCGCCTGCCACCCAGGCAGCCACCAATGTACTGATCCTAATATCCCAGCATTCAGCAAGCTTCACTGCCTAATCCTGGGACAGACACGGCCGCAGCACAACAAGCTGGCTCGCTGCAAAACCCGGCATGGAGTGTCCCTCCCAGGCTCTGTGCTATTTCTTGCTTGCTAGCTGACCTCAGCACTGCACCTTTTTTGTCAGCCACCCTTTGAAAATAAGCTGCTGTTTGTGTGCTCTTATCAGTTTGACATTTGAGGGCTTAGTACAAACAATGGAGGAGCAAAAATGCAGCTAAGAGCCTTGTTTGTTTTGGACCAGTGGATCAGCACAAATCTGTTAACTCCTGATTTGTAACAGCAGTTCAGCAGCGGGTCATTGTTTGATAAGATAAAGAATGTAAAAACATTAACTGATTAAGAAATGTTAAATTATGTGTGGGAAAAAAAACTCCTTAGACTTACGACCATGTTTCTTGCTTCTCTGCCTTCAGGGAGAATTGATCACTTTTTACTATTACTGGAAGAAAACCCCAGAGGCTGCTAGCTCCCGAGCTCACCGCAGACACCGCAGGCAACCAGTCTTCCGCCGGATCAAGACCCGCACCGCCTCCACACCGGTCAACACTCCCTCCCGCCCTCCTTCCAGCGAGTTTTGTAAGTGCACTCGCCCTCTTTCGCCTACTGACAGAGCAAATTCTGCCATAGCCAAGCAGGATGTTTCTGTATCACCCTGGACTACTGCAGCTTTTTAGAACACAGATTGTATGAAGTAAACATGAAAAACCTCCCCTCTGATAATAAGCAGTAACAGGGGGAGAAGTCTGTTTGTATGCACTGTACACTTGTGTTTAAAGACCTGCTGATATTGTATTAATTAGTGCAGCGGTGATTGTGCCAAGGTGTTTAGCCGAGATGTCATTGTACAGTTGTTAACTCTGCCTCTCTCCTCCAGTGGACCTAAGCTCAGCCAGTGAGGATGACTTTGACAGTGAGGACAGCGAACAGGAGCTGAAGGGCTACGCCTGCCGCCACTGCTTCACCACCAGTAAGGCTACTGTGTTCACTGTGCTGTACTTCCATTTCCAGTCACTGCATTGCTGCATTCTGATCAGGCCAAGCCTGTAATCTTGCCCCATTTCTGTGTCGTCATTCTCTTCAGCCGTTATGAATGTGCTTTATTTACACAGTAAATAAACACTGTTTGCATTATAGTCACTTTTCCCCTCTTTGCTAAACAACTATTCAACTGACTTCAGTGAAATATGAGCTTTCCACTGTCAGCAGTTAGTCAGTCCCCAGGTGTAGTGATCACAGTATTAGGCTTTGGTACTAACACACAGAGACAGGTGGAGGCCGTACAACAGTGCTAGCATCATAGGCGCGTCAGGCCCATAATAATCCCCACAGCAGGCCTGTAATTACTCTCCGTTTGAGGGAGCCGTGCTACTCACCCACTCGCTCCACTGCCAGATGGACCTCAGAGGATGTCACTGCTAATTTCATCCAACCTGACAGTTACTCATTTGTTCTTTGCCTCATTAAACCCTCTGACTTGTTGGGTGCAGTTGGCACTTGCAGAGATCCCATATGGCGCAGTCTACGAGCGCCACCCGTTAATGTGGCACGGCAAGGCCAAGTGCACATGCACTGATGTCACAGTGTTTGATGTTGTGATGTGAGTCAGGGGCCAGGATAGTCTTCCCCTGTCACTGTCCTTGCACAGTCAGGGAAAGTAGAGCTCATCTTAAGCTGGAAATGTGTTTGCAGCCTCCAAGGACTGGCACCACGGGGGCCGTGAGAATATCCTGCTGTGCACCGACTGCCGCATCCATTTCAAGAAGTACGGTGAACTGCCCCCCATCGAGAAGCCTGTGGACCCGCCGCCGTTCATGTTCAAACCTGTCAAAGAGGAAGAGGATGGACTCGGCGGGAAGCATAGCATGAGGACTCGACGGAACCGTGGGCCGGTGAGTCTGCATCAAAAGGCTTTGATCTCAAGTTCACTACTGTAAATGCCCTTCCTTCCCTTTCTTTAATAATTCTAACACATGTTTTTCAGTCTGTGGATACTGAAATAGGAGGTGTTTTATTACTCCATTTTGTTTGGTGCAGATGTCGACGCTACGAAGTGGCCGGAAGAAGCAGACAGCCAGCCCAGATGGCAGAGCCTCACCAACCAATGAGGACCTGCGGTCAAGTGGCCGTACCTCCCCCAGTGCAGCCAGCACCTCCAGCACTGACAGCAAGACTGACTCAATGAAGAAACCCAGCAAGGTATGGCTGCGTTGCTCTTACCGTTTCAATTACAGCACACTGTACCACCCACACTGCATTAGCTCAATGTCTGCTTTAGCCTGTGTGTCACTGGAGCCTACGTTTGTCTTCTGTTACAACAGAAAATAAAAGAGGAGGCGCCATCGCCTATGAAGAGTGCCAAACGCCAGCGAGAGAAAGGATCCTCAGACACAGAGGAGCCAGAGAGGGCCAGCGCTAAGAAGTCAAAGACTCAAGTATGATTCCCTTACCTGTGTCCCTGTATCCCTAACCTTTACCAGTTGTAGACAAAGTGTATCAGTTACAGAGTCACTTGACTCTGCTAACCACACTTTAGGACACCTTTTACCAGTTTCATGAAGTCTCACTCTCATTTTGAATTAGCACCAGCTTATATAATTCGAAAGTCAACAACTTGCTATATTCAGCCTCTCTGGAGCTATGACATATGTCAAGCAGTAGCACTTTGTGCCACCCTGTGAGTGTGCACTGTTTTCTGACTAGAGGTTAATGCTGTGGAACAGACCATGGTGCTGTTTAACTGGTGCAGAGTAATCACTCGCTCAGAGGTCATCACCAGCAGTAGGGCTGTGGCTAAGTTTATTAACTCACTCTTCCCTTGTCTCTCAGGAACTGAGTCGACCTGACTCACCTTCGGAATGTGAGGGAGAGGGCGAGGGCGAGAGCTCAGATGGCCGCAGCGTAAACGATGAGGGCAGCAGCGACCCTAAGGACATTGACCAGGACAACCGCAGCTCCTCTCCCAGCATCCCCAGCCCGCGCGACAACGAGAGCGACTCAGACTCATCTGCGCAGCAGCAGGTCCTTCAGGGCCAGCATCCTCCTGTTATCCAGTGCCAGACGGGTGCACTGCCCCCAGCAGCCTCTTCTTCCACAGCCACAGCAACCACACCACCAACGTCAGGGGCCTCAGCGCTTCCCTCACAGGTGTCTCCGTCCATCCCCCCCACCTCCATGCCTCCTCAGCAGATACCTCCAGCAGGCCCGCTCTCTCATATCCAGTCTGGAGCGGCACTGCACCCTCAGAGGCTGCCCTCTCCTCACTCACCAATGCAGGGTATGCCTCAGCCCCCAGCGCCCCCCCAGACTGGCCCTCAGCCTCTGCAGCCTCCACTACATGGCCCAATGCCTCCCATGGGCCACCCTCTGCAGACGGGGCCCCATATGCCTCATCCTCATCCCTTACCTCCACAACCTTTCCCTCACGCTCAGTCTCAGGTCCCTCCGTCTCCCTTATCGGGCCAGGCACAAGCCTCATCCATGTCCCAGCAACAGCAGCCTCACACTCCTCCATCACAATCACAACAGTCCTCCTCACAGAGCAGTGGGCAGCCCCCTCGAGAGCAGCCCCTTCCCCCTGCACCCATGTCCATGCCCCACATCAAACCTCCACCCACAACCCCCATCCCACAGATGCAAAACCCTCAATCACACAAGCACCCCCCACACCTCTCTGCGCCTCCATTCCCACAGATGCCTTCCAACTTGCCCCCGCCTCCTGCCTTGAAACCCCTCAGCTCCCTGTCTACACACCACCCACCCTCAGCCCACCCACCTCCACTGCAGCCCATGCCGCAGCAGCTGCAGCCTCCGCCTGCACAGCCTCCAGTACTCACCCAGTCCCAAAACTTGCCTGCCGTAAGCAGCCATGCACCTCCTCCAGCTCCACCTCTGCCCCCCTCTGCCACCTCCTCGCACTCAGCTTCTTCTCAGCCAAACCTTCCCTCCTCATCCCTACATCCCAGGCAGCTCAGCCTCTATCCCGCCCTCCTCCGTTCCATCCTCTGCAGCGGGCCCCCTGGCTGGACTGCAGCAACCCCCCTCCTCCATCTCTATGCCCCTGCCTGCCTCAGTCAGCGCGCCCTGCCCAGGACCCTCCACTGTGCCGCCTGTGCAAATTAAAGAGGAACCTCTGGATGAAGCCGAGGAACCAGAGAGTCCCCCACCTCCACAGAGGAGTCCCTCACCAGAGCCCACCATCGTCAACACACCTAGCCACGCCAGCCAGTCCGCACGGTATGACATAGATTCTCACCTTCTACTCCCGAAGTTTAGACAAACAGAGAATCTGCAAGACTTTCTCTGAAGAGTTACTTTCCTGCAGAGTTTAATTCCAGCCTGCGTCCAATAAGCTGATACTTTAATACAGCTGGTCCAGCAGATGCGACAAATTGTGGTTGGAACAAGGCTTAGCAGGAAGGTAGCTCTCCAGGACCAGGGTTGGAGACACTGATGTAGCTGGTTATGCAGTACAATGTATTTCAATGCGTTTACATTAAAAAGCCACATTGAGAATGTCAGTTGCAGACTAAAATTTTAAGGTCCCATTTCTGAGCCTGTGTTAGCCTTGCTTTCAGCTCATAGCCACTCTGCAGTCATCAAGGCCAGGACAGGCCTGAGATTAATGACTGCATCATTAGAGTGAAAGGCTCCATCAGAACACGAATAGGTCTTGTTAGTTCTGTTGTGGAGCCGTCTCCTAAGTGCTGCAAACACACTGCCAGTGAATAGCAATGAGGCTACTAATGCACCCTGGGTGCAGCTCATTATGTTCCAGGCAGTGAAGAGACTGATTGAGTGGCTTTACCATAGAATAATGAGCTGATGTGCCAGAGGTTATTTATTTGTCATGAAGTAATTGCATCGCTTTTCAAATGGCCACAGAACCTCCACTGGGAAACATGACTTGCAGACTAGTTTACTTTTTCACTTAATGATCGTCATGCTAAATAAACCATAAGTATTTGCTCAGCGAAGTGATTTTTGATCATAGTTGTACTTGTTGACAGAATTTTTAGGTCAAGTCTAAGGTCTGCCCTCCTGCTGTTTCAGGTTCTACAAGTATTTGGACAGAGGCTACAACACGTGTGCAAGAACGGACTTCTACTTTACTCCACTGCCATCGTCCAAGCTGGCCAAGAAACGAGAGGAGGCGCTGGAGAAAGCGAAAAGAGAAGCTGAGCAGAGAGCACGGGAAGAGAAAGAGAAGGAGAGGGAACGTGAGAAGGAGAGGGAAAGGGAACGAGAACGGGAGAAGGAGGCAGAGAGAGCTGCTGTAGGTTTCGTTTTACAGATCTTTAGATATTTATGTACATTTGAACATGCCATTTTGCTTTGCAATTTACTTACATTGTGACGTAACTAACCAGAATCTCATCTGGATTTTACAGAAGGCTTCCAGTTCTTCTCATGAGAGTCGGATGGGAGACCCTCAGATGGCAGGACCGGCTCACATGCGGCCACCCTTCGACCCCCCTCCCACCACCATCGCTGCTGTGCCACCTTACATTGGGCCAGACACACCTGCCCTGCGCACACTCAGCGAGTATGCCCGGCCCCATGTTATGTCTCCCACCAACCGCAACCACCCGTTCTTCATGTCCCTCAACCCCACAGACCCCCTGCTGGCCTACCACATGCCTGGGCTGTACAACGCAGACCCTGGAATGCGCGAGCGTGAGCTGCGAGAACGAGAGATGCGTGAGAGGGAGATCCGTGAGAGGGAGCTGAGGGAGAGAATGAAGCCTGGCTTTGAGGTTAAACCCCCAGAGCTGGATAGCCTGCACCCCTCCACAAACCCCATGGAGCACTTTGCCCGACATGGGCCCATCGGTTTGCCGCCCATGGCTGGCCACCCTTTTGCTTCCTTCCATCCGGGCCTGAACCCACTGGAGAGGGAGCGTCTGGCGCTGGCTGGGCCCCAGCTGCGGCCAGAGATGACTTACCCAGAGCGCCTGGCAGCTGAGAGACTACATGCTGAAAGGATGGCCTCAGTGGCCAGCGACCCCATTGCCAGACTGCAAATGTTCAACGTGACACCACATCATCACCAGCACTCGCACATTCACTCTCACCTCCATCTACATCAGCAAGACCCACTGCACCAAGGTGAGGGAAAACCTCTGATTATACTACACCTCACCAGCCACTATATATAATATGTTGTATAATAAATTACGTAAAATATTACTTTTGATAGAATACATTTTGTGTAGTTATGTAGTTCACATGTGAGCTGAATAATATGCATGCTACAGCACGCATGGTGTATATTCTAATGTGATTAAGCTTGTGTTTAAATGTGAGTGGTAAGCATGCATTTGTATCTGTGTACTGTTATAATGCCTTTGTACCCTGACAAAAAGCTGCTGACATGGAGAAGGTGGTGGTGAATGTCTTGTGTGTCCCCCAGGTTCTGGGGCACACCCGCTAGTTGACCCACTGGCTGCAGGACCACACCTGGCCCGCTTTCCCTACCCACCTGGAGCCATCCCCAACCCTCTGCTCGGACAGCCTCCACACGAACACGAGATGCTCCGGCACCCTGTGTTTGGTACGTATCAAAGCATCCACTTAGTACAATTTCATTTACTCCTAATTTTTTCAGTTACAATGGCACAAATCCAGATAGTCTGTATTACGCAAACTTAACTAATAACGTATCTCTGCTTCTGTTGATATTGTAGGTACTCCATACCCTAGAGATTTGCCAGCAGGGTTGCCGCCTCCCATGTCAGCAGCACATCAGCTGCAGGCTATGCATGCACAGTCCGCAGAGCTGCAAAGACTGGCCATGGAGCAGCAGTGGCTTCACGGACACCACCACATGCACGGGGGCCCTCTGCCTGGACAGGAGGACTACTACAGGTCAGTCAGCCACACGTCATAACAGCTCTTACACAGCAAACTTTTGATGTACTATGATGAACAAAGTAGTTACATTTATAGATAAATGGTGTCATTATTATAATTTATTATTATTTTATTCATTATTATTAACCATAAACCTGTAATGGTTTTAGTGTAGCAGCAGTTTACGAAATGCGTATATCTGCTTATTGATCCTGACAACTGAGGACTGTAATGCATTTGTTTGACTCGTGCTGTTCTCTGTTCGTCCTACAGCCGGTTGAAGAAGGAGAGCGATAAGCAGCTGTGATCATTGGAGGGATGTGACATCGCAGAGGTCTGCAGGACACAGGAGGTCGCCCCAGAACAGTCACGGAAAGGAACTTGTGTGTCCTTGGAATATTTTTAGTTTGCAGAAGAACAGAAAAGTGACAAGGATTGTCTGAAGACCTTTTTTCTGTTGTCAGCTTTCTTTTCTATTATGGACATTTTTATTTTCTAAAGACATTGACTTCATTTTTGGTATATAGCGTTCAAGTAGTGACAACGTCCTCAAGACTGATTGTGACTTTCCTGCATGAACATCCTCTGAGAAGCTTCCCTGACGTTTTTGTAGGTGCTAGAATACCAGACACTTTGTCACTGTGCTTATTCAAAAAAGAGGAAGAGAACAGTTGGGCCATTATATCTGAAAAGTGCTATCTTAAATTCAATGTTTATTTTAATACATTGTAGGAGGTTTTCATAATTTTAAGAAAAGCTGCAGCATGGCGTTTTTTTGAGTCTGTAAATAGTATATATATATACATATTATTATTATTATTATTATTATAATTATTATTATTAGGTGTGGATTCCTAACCGAGTTGTTAGACCTCCGATATAATAGTTCTGAAGCATCATCCCTTGTTTCAGAGGGGACGAGATGGCATTATTTGAGCAGGTAGTCGTATCAGGTGGTTTGCGGTCCATAAAACAGGGTCGCTGGGAGAATGGTACCAGATTTTTATCCACACACACTTAAGGTTAATGCTCAAGTTGAGCTGCTTTTTGTCCTTTAGACTGTCAGCAACAAACAGACATACAAAAAAGTCCATTCATGATGTCATGACCATCTTCATTTCCTTTTACGGTTAGATTTAGAATGAGTTTTTGTTATGAGACACATGAAGGTAAGAGTAATGGCTCAAAGTTTGTGCGCGAGGGCTTACACCCAGATCCTTCTGAAAAGCCAAAATTGCACTGAATAACTTGGAAAAGATGAAATGTTGAACTCTAATTGGTTTTAAGTGAACTGACAGTGTGAATGAGAGCATTTTAACATATTTTTGTCTTGATTCTGTGTACCAAAGCAAAGAAGCTGAAGTTCATAATCTTTTATAAACGTGAATTGGGTTCAGATCTTTACGCGCAGCTTTGTGAAAGAATTTAAACAAAACTGATCCTGGTTGATAAAGGCTGGATATGGCCAGAGTTTTCCTCAGTCTCCAAGAATGCTTTTAAGGATTTTTTAAGTCACTAGGTGCTAATGGAAAAAGATGGCACTGCAGTCTAGCCCACCTCCACTACTCGAGTCACTTTTCCTCCAGTGTGCGAGGCTCCTTAGTCATTCTCACTGTGATAACTCGAAAGACATGGTTTTCAGCAGACAATGGATAAAGAGCTTTGAACAAGAGTTTGCGTATTCCTGTGTGCATGTTTGCAGTAGTGGAGATGAACATGTTACCACTGCAGCTTCTCTCTGCATTCCTGACACCCCATGATGCATGGCCTCCCTGGTCTCTCTGTCCCTGTCATGACGAGGCTGAGCGACAGCCATTGTGGACTGTTACGTGCAGTATTGGCTGTTTTTATGTCACACCAGTTTGAACCACCCACAATCCATCATGGCCATTTTTACATCTTTAAAGAATTCATTTTATGTCCATGAATACTGTCACTGCTGCAAGGTGGTTCGGTTTTCTGTTTTAATTTGAATAATACTTGATGAACAGTACTGTTTCAGATGATACCAGTTTTTCTTTTTTTATATAAAAAAGTAAATCCACATTCTTTTAAAGCTTGCACAAAAACCCATTTTGAAAGTACAAACCCAAACTCAATCATCAGCCCTTTTTTTTTAGTTGGACTCTACCATCTACCTGTCTCTGTCTGTATGATGTATACAATGTTCTGATTTTGTTTTCAGCATTTCCTCCTTTTTGTCCCCTTTTTTGTGTCTTAAACCTTTGATGTTGAGTGTTGTCAATGGTTTAGCTTCTTGTTTCAAAGCGGCAATAGCAGAATGTAAATTCTGACTGCTAAGATTTATATATACTGGTATCTTGAAGCTTATTGTATATATTAGTAGTCGCCATGGGATGACACAATGTAAACAAAAAGTAGAAATAATTAAAACGAAATTGTGAGTCCTGTGTTCTCCCCATTTGAGTATTTTGTAATTTTTTTGAAAAATTTGTGGAATTAAAATAAAACTAAGTTACACCACAAGGATACTTGATTTCTAGTTAATATCACTTTGTTATATGACATGGCAAAAGTAAATGTTCATGCTGACAAAATGTCTGTGTGTGTGTCTATAATTAGATTTGTTGTTTTCAATACTTTGAAATAATTGTTACTTTGTGCCAGCTAGTTTAAATCTCACTCTCCATTTGGTCAGAGTGGCTTTGGGTCAGAGAAATGGGTTCATCAGAAAATGCATCTTGTGTCTGGGCTCTTTATATTAAGATGATCCCTGTGCATCTTTGTCTTTTTTCCACTTCAGTAAGAGCTTCCTGGATATATCTAGGACTCGTTCTATGTGTAAAAATGCACCAACTCAAGATGGCATTGAAGGGAATTCCACTGACGTTTGCTACGTTTATATGCATAATTAAATCTTTAAGATGTGAACAAAGGTCTTCTGTGAAATGCTCCGAACGCCAGTGAAACGTTCGAAGTACCCAAGTCATAATCGGAACAGTGAACAGGAACTGCATATCCAAAGCCCCTCAATTCTCCCTCACTGAAAGTTATTTCACAAAATGGTTATGAATGTTATCTTGTCCCTGAGACATTTTCAGTGGTTTTGAAATAAAGTTTTAGCCTAAAATGTCTTTTTTTAAAAATCCATTAATGGTAAATGGGTACATGCAGGGCGTTGTGGACATTGTGAGGTACAGTAGTCCTCGAAGAATTTTTTATTTTTTTTCCCCCAGATTCACAACTCTGAATTTTCCATTTACTATTGTCAACATTACATATAAAAACTCAGAACTCTAATGCAGGTTCATTTGATTGTTTTGGATAGCAAACAAAATAAACTGGCTCCTGTCACCACCACTGTAAAGAAATCAATAAGTTTCTCCACAATGAAGCATTTCACATCAAACCTCTCTGAATGACTGTTGACATCTCAACCACTGAATAATGCAGACATTTTGGAAAAAATGGTGGAATTCCCCTTTAAGTCTCGGCACTTTTATTTAAACTTACAGCTTTGTTTATTCCATTAGCATTTTACTTAAGACAAATGTTTTATGTGAGTCGTCGCTAACCTGTTTTTGACCAAGAAGACCAGAATATTGCTTGAGTTGTTTCTCCTTTCACTGATATCTGCAGAAATGTTGAAAAAATGATGGAAATTCACTTTCAACGTCAATTTCAGTAGAAAGTAGAAATATTTTAACTCCACATTATTCTTGTAATCCTAAGAAGTAACTAATTTTTCTCATCAGAGTAGGTAGCCTATTTTTGCGGGGTGGTCAGATGGGTACTTATTGTATAAATACGTTCATAGGTTTAAATAAAGAAACAGCCAGTGGACAGCGGATGTTCAAATAGCTCTCAAATGGCTACAGAAATGACTCAGTAAACCTGAATAGCACACATTTATGCTGCTTCTGTGTGCACTGGAAGCGCACAGTCCTGAACAAAAAGAGTTTATCTCCATCTTTGACAGCTCCAGAAGAGAGAGTGATTCACAGGGTCGGAGAGCTCAGCCTGCCACTGAGTCACAACGTGGAAGGGCTTATCAGCGCTCATAGGGCCACACTCTGAGTGCCACTGCAGCGGGATGTGAGTGCAAGGCTGGTGGCTTCATTATCGTGTTTGGAGGCCGTCAGATGGCAGCGCCGTGGTGGCTCAGCTTGTTCGGGGCGACGGCTGTCAGTTTGAGAGGGGGACAGGAGGCTGTCGGGTTTATCAAGCCCTTGCCCTCCGCATGATCCTCTGAGGCACAGTTTGAAATGGGTTTTTAGGATGTAGAGCACCAGTCAGAGACAAAGACTGGAAACCAATGGGATACAGTCCCACTATAAGCTGTAACACACTGCTGCTAGTAGTTTGTTACATTTTTGAGGCCTATTACATTTTGAACTTCAGCTGAGTTTATCCTCAGTATAGCTGATGAAGGCACAGGCTGACCTACAAACTACACCTATTGTTCAACTGTATTCATGTAGTATACTATATATTGCGATTCTGTTTAAATAACATTTACCTTCTCAATGAAACAAAAATGAGTAGTTGGCCATTTGCATGATGATGATGCATTTTTTAAATTCTGCTCATCCAACTCTTATTAAATGGTTGCATATAGCACCAAAAAAGGTTCTGCTATTGTTACAAGCTCAAATCACAGCAATAGAAAAACGCTTTTTGGTTCTATATAGAACCATCTACAGCACATTCTCCATCCCTTTCACAATGCAAAGAACCCTTTAATCATGTAAAAGGTTCTTTGAGTGTTCATGGTTCTATAAAGAACCATTTTCCTTACCCTTGAAGAGCCATCTTCTTGAAGAGTGTATAGAAATTAATAAAAGCTCTTTCAGTTTGGTTTTTTATCCATTTAAGTATTTTAGAATCTTTAAAAGGCCATGTATAAATTCCGCATCAAAATAACATATAGATTACTTGATTAATATAATCGGCGGTGTCAGGTTTACTGTGCTGCAGGTTAGAATATTTAAACTACGCAACCATCGGCAGAAAACCAGGAACTGCTATCTTTAAAGATGGATTAATGGCGATGCATGCGGAGCAGATACCTTCGACCCCCCCCCTCAGATGACACTGCATTGTTTCTTTGATGGATATTATCACATAGGCTCAAGAATACTTTAAATTGTCAATAGTGTTTGTCGCTGCATCCACAAATAAAAGTTAAAAGTGCACTATACACAGTGGAAATCATATCAATATCATCCAGAAACACTGCCAACTTCTCTGGGCTTGAGCTCATCTGAACTGCAGCGGAACTCAACTTTACGGATTATTTATGGAAATAATGGCCAAAGTATGACATCTATGAAAACTAACTGAACAGTAGCTGTTTTTTTACTTTAACATCATATCTAATTTCTAGATTTAGGGACTCTGTAGTCCCTGAACCCCAGTGTGATTTGAATACCACTGGAAGCAAACCTCCAACAAGTTAAACCACAACATGAGGAGGAATTATAAAAAAACTGAAGTTTGAGAGGAGGACCATACCTGAAGCTCCTCCTACTTCCTATTTAACATCCCTGTAATTCTACCGTCTCTACCATCTGTTTCCTGTGATGATGTTTTTGCACCCCGTTGTTCTTTGAGAATCCAGCCCTCTACACTCTCAGCAAAAAGGGTTCCCAAAAGTGTTTCTTGGTCTTGTAACAATAGTGGAATTCTATATAGAACCATCTACAGCACATTCTCCACCAATCTGATGAAACCTATCATGGTGCAAAGAACCCTTTAATCATCTAAAATGTTCTTTGAGTCTTCATGGTTCTATATAGAACCATTTCCTTGACTAAAGAACCCTTGAAGAATCATCTTTTTTAAGAGTGTGCTCTAGAGCAGAAGCTGCCCAGAACTCCAGCCTAAGTTATCAGAGTTCTCTTCCCTCCTACAATCAGTCTCTTCTCGTACTACGATTGTCTGCTGAAGCTGTGGTCCAAATTCAGCCTTTCCTTAAAACATTAAACAGTGCAAACGTTTATGTGAGAAATATGTTATTCTAGCTTAGCAAGGTCGTAGCCATTACAGTGGTCAGCCCCTCTGGTGTAGATATTCTGTGTCTCTCTGAAGTGATCTAGGACCAAAAACACTTACAGGAGCTGGTCAGACACAGTTTGAGGACTCAGTCAGAGCTTATTGACCTGAGGCTCTGTATTGAGTGAAAAAACTATAGCCAGCTACAGTCACTATTGACCTGCAGAGGCCCTGGTCAGAATTATTTGTCTTGCTGTGTACTTTGCTAACAGGCATTTCACCCAAACAGTTTGCCAGATGACCAAGTCGTTCTTGTGACAGACTGTTCTGAGCATTAAACTGTGCTCAGTGATGGCAGTAAATATAAAATACAGCACAGCTTTTACTGGCCAAATGTATTTTATACGGTTCTGTTTTATGTACAGCATGTGTTCAGTGTCCAGCATGGCATTTGTTAGTCCACCTTTAGCTGACTAAATTAATGACTTAATATTTTTTTCATTGTTGTTTTAGGTTTTTAACATAATACCATGAAAAATGCCCCCTCTAAACTATTTCCTATTGCTTACCATTAGTGTGATAAAGGCAGCTGCGCTATTATGTCCTTTCCTCTTCGATGTGACATCTTCATTTTTTATGTCATACTGTTTTCATTGTGCTTTATGAGGTAGTGAATGTGCTGGCTGTACAAACACATCGGCTCAGTAGGGACAGGAGAAAAAATGTAACATCTAGATAGTTCTGGAGCAAAATGTACTTTGGGTCTAGAATATAAACGTTACCAATTTTGGGTCTTTTTTTCAGTCTGCTCTTTATTTATTACTCTTCGCATGAAAGGCTGCTCATATATGTGTGTATAAGCCGAGAGAGGGGGTGCGCAGCAGGAGGCTAAATGTTTGATGTATGGGACTGCAAAAAGGTTGAGAACCACTGGTGTACATCATACTATGATCAAAAGAAGCTCTCGAAAAGCTCCGAGGCTCCGCTGAACTGCTAGCAAAAACATTTAGTCCAAATGGAGAAATTCTGAGAGAGCAGTGAATCTATCCAGGAAGAGACATCTTGCCAAAGCCTTTAAGTGCAGGCTGTAAAACTGATGAAGATCCCTAAACACATGTAGGAATATGGAGGTCTTTGCAGGTGTTCTTAACCTCCATCATCTGAGAGGTACCGGGCAAATGTGGGATCTATGTCGCAGCTGCAAGTCCCGAAATCACCCATCACGAAGAAGAACATGAATATTTTAACCTCGCCCGAACGCACCTGCATGACCCTCAAGACTTCTGATAATGTTGCGCAGATAAATTAGTAAAGAGAATGGAGCTTTTTAAGCTGGTGAAAATGCTGCTGTCGCTGACGAATCCAAACACTGCATTCCACAGAGAGAACCTCAGAAACAAGGTGGTGGTAGAGATGGATAGCTTAGCATCATAGATTCTACTCTATAGGAGGCCACCTACCCTTTAGTTGAAGTGCAGCTGAAGTATATGATGACTCAACATGAGATGGCTGAAGAACATTCAGCCAGGAGAAGTGAATGAAAAATGTGTTTCTGATGATACACGCACTCAATAATCCGATAATAATTCCGCCGTTATCTGAT